AGCGCCCTTGGCAGCAGTGCAGCATCAAGCGAGAGCGCAGCAGCACTTCCGCATTGCCAGCACTGGCCAGAATGCCTGGCCTGGGCTGCCTCACTTCTTTTGTGGAAGTGGCAACCTCCTGGATGCTGCGTGAGGCCTGGCTGGAAGCTTCCAGTAGCTTCCGGTTGGGTCCCAGACCCTGCGCCCAGGCCCGAGACTACAGTTGAGGGCCTGGGCCCTTTACAGTTAGGCACGGCCTGAGTCTCTGGACTTGGGCTGTTTGCCGCATCTGTGCAGGGCTCCCTGGCAGATGCGTCGGCACTACTGCTTTTACCAAGGCCGAAGGTCTGCTTCCCAATGTATCGGCCCTGCTTTGTGTATGTGTGGCCAGACGCAACTGTCAAGGCCTGGGCCAACTGTATGACGCAGAAATGTGAGGCTCACGCGTCAACCCAACCAACTGGCATGCTGCGAGAGCCTGAATACCCACATATGGAAATGTCGAATTTTGTCTCTGACGAATATTCAGGCCCGCCTTCACTTAGGGCGAGCACTTTGGCTTGCTGGGGGCCTTAGCCCAGAACAATGTGATATCTGATAGGGCCCCTTGAGGGCTTGTTCCTCACAAATATAACGCCCGGAAGTTCTATTCGAATATAACGCCGGCCGGGCGTTATATTCGAAGGGGCGTTCTATTTGGAAAAAAAGTGAGTAAGAATGAAAATCTGATCCTTTTAAGGGTAAGTTGAATATAACACCCGGGAGTTATTTTCAGGTGAAGACGGTAGTTCATAGACTACCATTAGCAGATTCAACAACGTGCACCTAATTGAAATGATCCGCTCAGATTCACTCTCCACACAACATGCACAATGAAAGCTCACAATAAGATTCACACCAAGACCAGATACGGAGCACCAAATAAGCACAACTCAGAAACTTCAATGAACACTCATAATATACAAATTCAGAGTTCAGATAGCCAGCGCCCATCAGCGCAATCAACAACAGTAACCAGTGCTCATCAGCACATGTTATAACAATCCTCAACTAGGTATGTAACCAAGTATCCTCCGTTGTGACTCTCTCTCTCTCTCTCTCTCTCTCTCTCTCTCTCTCTCTCTCTCTCTCTCTCTCTCTCTCTCTCTCTCTCTCTCAATACTTCGCTTCTCTCTCAACCATGGTTGCCCCAGACCCGGACATCCAGACACTGGACACTGGACATCGGACCCGTGTCTGGATTAATCCAGACGTCCAGTAATCTGGACACCGATCCAGACAACCGGACATGCGAACCCGGACGGTCCGGTTATGGATGGGCAAGTCCAGATGGCCGGATTATTAAAAAGAAAGAAAGAAAGAAAGAAGAGAGAGAGAAAGAAAGAAAGACACATGCTGCTGCAATTGTGTTTATCCGACTTATCTTAAACACACACACAACAGACACACACACACACACACACACACACACAC